ATACTGCTGGGAAAGTTGAAATTCACGTAAGAAGTAAGTTTCAGCCTTCTAAAAGCAGTTATAGTCATACTAAAAAGTTTAAAAAACAGAAGACTGAAATCTTGAAGTGGATAAAAAAGGAACTGTTAGTTATGTCTCAGGAAGAACATGAAGAAGGAGATAGAAGAGAAATTATAAAAAACAAAACGCAAGATAAAACTAATGCACAGATTTTCGATTTTCTTTTTGGTTTAGACATTTACTCAGTTCTCGTTGCATCTGAAGAATTTATTGCATCTGAAGCCTATATAGGAAGATTTATTAGAATATCATTGCTTACAGGATATTATTCTTTACCTCAAGAAGAAATGTATTGGTCTTTTGATAAGGACATTTCTGTTCCTGTTGTACGAGAATTGATATCACGTTTTTGCAGTACAGGAATATGAAGCAGAATTTGTAGTTGACAATACTGATAAATTATATGAGGTGAGACCGTATCTAAACTTACTAAATATCACCACTTTTTACTATTAGAAATATAAAGTCTCTTTTAGATTTCAGACGCCAGAATGCATTATTCCTTTTGCAAACTCCTATTGAGAATTAGCCAGAAGTAGATCAGCAACAGGAAGACCTAGTAAATTCAGCATTCAAAAACCATTGCATGGAGATGGTAGACATTTTATTGTAAAGTCCGTTGATAACAAAAGTGTTGTAAAGTGTACCATAGCCAGACTGATTATAGATGCAAAGTATGCAATGTAGCTTTACATCATGATTGTAATCAAGCTTTTCATGCTTGAATCTTTCAAATGAAATAATCTGTATTTGTAAAAGAAATACAATGTATATTTTAATGTTAAATTAATTACATGTAAAGTGATTTGTAGATTTATAAAACGTTATACAGCTAAAAAGTTATCCTGCGCTCCACTCAAAAGAAACATCACACGAGTACAATCCTACTCACTAAACATCCGTAATCTTATTCCGCTGACGTTGCGCGAACGCAACACTCGCTTTTTCCACAGGTAAGAGCATTATTTTTATTTTCAATGTAAATTTATATGTTATAAATGCTTAATTTAATATTTGTTATTATTTTCATGAGAAAAAGAACATTCTTTGTAGTTTTGGCGGTTAATGGGTTAAGGGGTTCCTCGGAAGGTAAACTTATATGGTATTTCTCCCGCCTTCTTAGCATGCCTTTTTGGTATGGTGGTCCGCAAGCTGGGAGCGTATTCCAGGTGTCCGTGGTTCGATTCCCGGCGAAGGCGTTGCTCATTTTTCATCTTGCCTGATTCCAAAAATATACCTGATGTCTCTACAAACTGAAGATAACCGATTGGGGTGGCCTTTTGTCATCACTATACAATGTCTCAAAGAAGTAATCAGATTTTTTAAGTTTCTGAAAATAAGGATATATATTTTACGTACGTTGAACTAAATTAAACTTTTTGTTATCTTCGAAGTAGCAGTTTCCTAATCTTATTCTCACACTAAGCAGTTTTCTTCAGACATGAAGTATACTAAGCTTAAAAAGTAGTAAATTCCTTTTGAGTGAGAAATAATAATGGATTAGAACTCGTATTATTTAATCCAACAAAAGGTAGAAACATATTTCTTAGCCTTTTTCTAATATTTTGTGTGATTTTTGCTAACTTTTAAAAACTAATTGGTTTTGGGGTACATTAAACCAGATTTTTTGTTCATTCTTGCCTAAAAGTTTTTCATTTATCTTTTGGTGCTAATTTCATTCACTGCTTTAAAGATATGTTTAATTTTTGAATTTTAAATTAAATTTTTTTCCGCGTAAGTTCTGTAAGATTTATATTTGGACACTGAGGTGAACTTATGAGTTTTTTAGGATCATTAAACAGTAGGCAGAGTTGCGTGTTCGTAGCAGTACATTTAAGGTCATTAATTTGGTGGAACTTGGATTATTTTGTAGGTTATGTGTTAAATCTAAGTACACTCCTGGCCATCCAAATTGCAACACCCAGAAAGAAAAGAGATATCAAATTTATTTAGTAGATAACATGTTGACCAAGTACCAAATGATTCAATTTATAGACTTCCGTGAAGTGTGGTTCCTTCCAGAATCAGTAGCCAGAGTAGCCGCCCCATTGTTGGAGATCACCGCTGCCACACGCCTCGGCATTGATTCAAAGAGACTTTGAATGTGTTGAGGTACAGCAGAACAAGCAATTTCCACACGTTGCCAAAGTTGATCTGGTGTGGATCTGTGTTAGGATGTAATCTGGGTCAATCGTTCAGCAACCATAGACCACATGTTTTCGATCGGCGAAAGATCCGGAGAGCGAGCCGGCCAGGGAAGCAATTCAATCTGGCGATTGACGAAGAACCCTTGGACAATGCATGCCACGTGTGGTCGAGCATTATCCTGTTGAAATATGGCTGTTGGCAAGCCCTGAAGGTAAGGAAGGACAACTGGCTCCAACACCTCGGAGATGTAGCGCTGGCTGTTTAAAGTACCGGCAATGCGTATTAGAGGAGTGCGAAAGTGATATCCAATACCGCCCCATAGCACAATACCCGGTGCAGGACTAGTGTGGCTGTGATAACACAGCTGTTCAGCATCCTCTCTCCAAGGTGTCTCCAAATTCGAATCCGACCATCGTGGTGTTACAGACAGAAGCGTGACTCGTCAGTAAAGACAATTTCATTCCATTCTGCCGTACACATCCTTCTTTCATATCACGATTGGCGGCGGAGACGTCTGATTCTGCGTCAAGGGTAGACGAAGCAATGGACGTCTTGCGGACAGACCACTCTGCTGTAAATGTCGTCGAATGGTACGCGCAGACACTGGATGATGCATTACAGACTGAATGTGCTGTGCTAGGGTTCGTGATGTGACTGAGCGATCCGTCACTGCCATGCGCACAATGTTCCTGTCATCACGTGAAGTGGTGCACTGAGGTGGATGCGATCGAACACGTCGGTCCGTCGTACCCTCTTGCATCTAACGGTCACATATCCGAATTACAGTTTTTTGGTTTCATCCAACGCAACTACCGATTTCCGTAAAAGATAATCCACACTCTCGGTAGGCCACTATCCTTCCTCTTCTGAACTCAGATTCTTCTAGAATTTCGGTTCTGGATTCATCTGGAGAGAATCAGAGACCTGCTACCTATCCTGTAGCGCAGCCAAGCCCGTATGGTTGTTAGTCACGCGAACAATCCTACCAATGGGCCCAGATTCGAATCCCTAAAAGGCACAGATGTAAGTGTATAGTTTCTGTTCAGCTAGGGGGCACTCAAAATATACCGCAAGCCAAAAATCTTCTCGAGAATTTGGTGTTAAGGGAAGACGGATGAGAGATTCTCGGACCGCCACAGGGGTGTGTTTTTCAAAACTGAGGAGGAACCGCGCAGTTAGTGCAGAAGCGCTATACCTGAACGACCAGTTCTGGTGTTTTGGTTTCTCTGAAATTCTGGTATTTTGCCCACGTCTACTTGCACCACTACCTGCATTCTTACATCTAAGAAAGGGATTAAAATGACAACGGAGACTAGTTTTCTAGGCAGCGGCATGTTGCACAGATTTTCATATCTTTGATAAAAGCTCTGTGATTTTTGCCAGGTATAGGAAAGGGATGTGAGAGCTATGTTTGCTTTTTCTAGAGTACAGCTGGCTCTCACTTCATTTTTATAGGAGACATGCTCATCCCTATAGCGCTAATGTGGTGATTTAAATTTGTGGAAAGTGAAGATATTAAACAGATGAATCGGTAACCCAGATCTACAGACCTAAAGCCTGTAAAAACCTAGGAGGATAACTGCAAATCGCCTTCTCCCAGAACCCCGCCCCAGGGCCTGTAAACATCGCTGATGCAGAAGAAGGACCGACTGCCGCAGGAATTCATAAACTACCTCATCTTCAGCATGAAGCCAGCTTGTGAAAGCTGGACGAGTCTTAAATGGGACCATGTCCTTTATTAACCTATTTTTTTTTTGTTCTGACACCTTTTACCATAGGTGTTGTATGGTATATTATTTTTTTATTATATCAACCTATGTGCATACCAGACTTCATTAAAATATGCTTATTAATTCCGGAAAATGTCTGCGAAATGTGAAAATGTTTCTTAATTTTTGACCATGGATTCCAAATTTTTATCTTTTGGCTTTGAATAAGAAAGCTGAAGATTTCTGCTTTTCTTTCACTGATCTCGATAAACTTTCTACCTAGCAACCAGTAGACCAGATTACCATTCTAACTGGTTCTCTATTACTAATAACGATATATATATTATCTTCTTTGGGAGTTGATCCCCAGCAAGAAGGCTTTCGTCACCGAATACCATCATAACAAACAGAGCGGCATTAATATGATATATAAATAAGACTCAGAGTAATTCGTTGGTTTTGAAGATAGTTCTCACCACTTTAATTTCTCGCGTGTAAACATTTCAGCAATATCTTAATTACCGAAGACGAAAATATTCTCTGAATGAATGTGTAGTCCTTCTTCCACCACCACCATTGAACTGCTTGCTAACGAGTTGAAACCATGAGACGACCACTAAGAAATCTGTTGAAGCGATATGCAAAGGCAACTCTAAAAGTGCCTCTTCATCCCGTGAAGAATATCTCCCGAGTTTGAACCTTCAATATTTCAAATTCGGTTGATAGCTTTGGGCTTATCTTCGAACATGCTTGCAAACGGGAGATCAATTTAATTTTGATTGTTAGCATTATATCATTTATCAAATCGGTGAGCCAGTACACTGATATCCGAAACTGAAGGATATAACACATTTGTCACTCTAATATTGATTTTTTTATCGCTATATTAAGATTATTCTTCTTTGTGCATATATGTTACGATTACATTATATGTGTAGAATGTAATAATGTGAGATTAATATATATTTCCCAACTCTCTTGCGTAATTCCAGGAAATGGAATTACGTAATATTTTCAAATAAAACTAAAAAATATATGAAATTTACGCATGTATCAAAATTTTAAATAAACAGGTTCCTGTACCTTCGTTTTCTTTCTTTTTCATTATGACATTCCCTTGGATCCATCGGAATATAATTCTCCATGCGTATCCACTGCATATCCAGGGCCTTCTGCTTGTGCACCAAATCTTCTCCTTCACCAGAATTGGGAGTATTATTGGGAACCCTAGGATACCAAAATCATAATTTCAATTCTTTCGCTGCGTTTTAGAAACAAGTTATTTCAAAAATCCAATTCATTTTAAACAGGACATTTTTACAAACAATTAAATTTGCGATGTAGTACAAAAATTTAGAAAGCTTTTTTTGCCAGGTATGATTCGATTACAAATGCAAATAAAACGTATTAAATACGAATATATGGTAAGCAAATGAAGCAGTTCTAGTCGATGGTACCATTATTTTTTTCGACCCGCGAAGACTGATGCTTATAAATGTGTTTTTTATTACTCAGCAGTTTCTTAATCCTTTTTATTGAAATTTCAAAGCATTTTCTTTACTCGTGTAAAGATAATGCTCAAAGAAATGGAAATGTGATTCTCAAGAGTACGTATAATATTTGTTGAATTAATTGCTTAAAATCTAAAATACTCAGAATAAAATCAAAAACAGTCTTTATCTACAACATAGTTTGAACAAGTAAATGATATATCGAAGAAAGGTTAAACATTTTTATTTACAGTGACATTTTTCTTTTATTTGAAATGTCTCGAATTTGTTTCCTCCGAGACAGCAGTGGGTTGTGAAATTTATGTTTATTTAAATCTTCATTAGGTGTAAATATATATGATTTTATTTCGGAAATTTTTTCTGTCTTATGATAATTCCTAAGGAGATTCCTATTAAGGAGAAAAATTTCTTTAAGCTGCACTTGTCTTAAATGATATTTTTCTTAAAAATGAATTTCTTCGATTTTGAACGCTTTTTATGTATATTTGTTCTATGAAGAAATCTAAATATTCTTTTCTTCGTGACGTAATGGGTTTCAAGTAAAAAACCTATTTAGCATTATTAATTGCATTTTATTCTGATTATACTTTGCAGTAACTTCGGATAGCTAATTAGAATACATAAATTATTTCTTTCAATCATAAATAATCTTTCTCGGTAAAGATTTTGTTTCAGCTTAGATTTAATTAGCAAATTTGAAAAGGCGTTTCTTAAAAGTTTTATAGATAAGAAGTTCAGGAACCTTGCAGTCGCAAATTAAAATCGTTTACTCAGAATGTCTGCAGTTGAATGTAATCGGATTGCAGATTACGACACAAAACATTTCTAGTGTTTACGGAAGAAGCCTTCGGGAATTATATTTTCAAATTATATTTTCAATAGAAGGTTTTTATAATTTAGTGAAACATTTTAAAACTTCATGACAAATAAACTGAACATTTTATGTAAAATTTTATGACATTAAACTAGAAGTTAACTCCTTTTATCACACACTTCAAAAATGTTCAATTTTTGATGATACGACTGACATCTGTGCACTAACAGAAATATTTACTTGGACATGATGGAAAGCTGTTTGACGCCATAGTTAAATGAAAACTGTGATGATTAATCACTCTGTCATCAGAGCAATTTTGACATTTCCTACTACACCGTCAATGCGGTAGCCATCCCGATCATAGGACTCAGTTACACTTTATTCCATGTGGTTCTTTATTGTGGAAGGTTTGTTAAAGATACTGTACTTGTGACTTCAATTCTCTGCTGGTCTCCAAGGTGTTCAAAACTGTATCGGCAATAACAAGTCTCCGGTCGATAATGGCAATCTGGGGAGAAACACATTACCGAACAGAAATCTGCTGTATCAGCGAAAAGGAAAGAATTAACCATTTGTGATTAAAAAATTGAGTGAGTTTTTGTCTATTTCGGTACAATAAAATTATGTGTTCGGTTGCGTAGTTTGTTATGAATTTTTAAAATACATTAGGGATTAATGAATATTCTCGCATTTATGTGTAACATGAGCCAGTAATATGTATATCAAGAACGAAAGTTCAGAGACATTCAGCTTGATTGGTTGGTTAATTTTCTAACTTAAAGCAAACGACAGCAATCTTCCTAAGGGAGCATGACTTCGGAAAAGGCTTCTTAAGGAAAACTGACCCGTGTTTATTTTACTTATGGGGGAAACTACGAAAAAACCACACACACAACCTATTAACCGGGATCTGAACCAGAGTCGAGCTACCGCTTTTCAGCTGTTTTATAAATTCGGCTGCTACGGATGAAAGATCTGAAATCTCTTTATATTTTATTATAAGAAGATCTGTAATCTTCAGGCAATATATTCGAGCGTTACCGCCAGATTTACGAAATTCATCACGGAAATGTTGAACGGATAATGATGGAATAGTAGCTAATACCGTGTAAACAAGTTCAGGCATTCTTTCTGTAGATTCAGAGGCACAAAATTAGTGCACTGAGGTGGTTGCTGGAAGGGTTAGTTTTCGACAGCATGGGATGTCAGAGTTTATTTTCAAGAATTTCTTGCTTTCAAGCTTCTTACGATAGCTTTCTAATTCCTTTATAAAAGAACACGGCTTAGAAATCAGATTAAAGCAGCATTAGTTTTATAGCGATTTAGAATCCTCAATGACCGTCTTGTCAGTATCTAATTAAACCGTATTCTTCCTAGAGGACCGTGATGATTAATCAATCAATTTCTCTTCTTAATGCGGTTATAGGGGTATTATATGTCAATGAAAGTTCGACAGGAAAGGATTAAAGTATGGCTTATTCGGAAGGCTGCTTGTTTAATGTTGCAATCTGTTTCTAAGAATAAGACCGGCTGCATCAGATTTTGGTAGTTTTCTACAAATAGCATGCCATCGAAACTAATTTTCTTTAGTTCCAATAGTTTAACTGGAAAGCAAATTTCCCATATAGATTATAGCTAATACTTGGTTAAAGATAGTGAGTTACACTTGTAAGTTATATGGGTGAAACGTAAAATACGATAGAAATAAAAATGATGAAATAAAGTCTTTGAAATAAAACGTAAAATGAATGATGAGTATCATATTTGGTTATTAGGTAACACAACTACAACAAGAATTTCATACTTTTAACAAGGAATAAAAAACTGAAAAATCTTTTGAACGTTTAGCTTAAAAACGGCATGTGCAGTTTAGGAAAAATTTTGTTGTTATTGTAAACGTTCTAAGAACCCGATGGCCCACCAGCGGCCGAGCGGTAAAGTCGCTGAACACTGGTAGTTCGGTCCGAGGTTCGAATCCCGCGAACGGGCTGGCTGCATGGGCGTTTTCGTGGTTTTCCCCATGTGTAACGTGTATACGAGCCAGTTTCCCTTAGAAAGTCCTCCACGAAGGCATCCCTCCCCTTAGGCAGATAGCCCTCGAGGCTTTGCCATAATTACACACACACACACTAAGAACCCGATGAAAAAATAAATATAACTGTTAATCTCTCATCAAGAATAGAAATATTCTTTTTTGCCTTTCCGTTTTTATTAATATAAGGAAAACTATTGCTACCATTAGATTTACTTTAACGGTATTTCTTAGCACGCCTTCGTGGTGTAACTGTCAGCAAATACGGCGCGTATTCGAGAAGTCCGAGGTTCGAGTACCGGTGAAGGCATTGCTTATTTTTCATGTCTTTTGCTTGGAAATAACCTAAGGTCTCTACATACTTCACATTCAAATGTTAATATCTTCCGCAATTTAATTAAAAATAAGCTAAGTATCATGAGCAATGTATTAAATATTAACATATCTGATAGTGATGTTTTCAGCAGTATAACTACAAATAAGCTGAGCATCCTGAACAATATATTGAAGCATTATGTAAGTTACAGATTATCAGTTAAGACATTACTTATTAAATATTTAAACAAATAAATTAAGATGTGTTCGTTCACATTAGTTTAATAAGAGTTAAAAATGGAAAAAATTTCTATTAAAATTCGATTAGAATTGTGAATGAAAATTCATTTAACTGTGAAAAATTTTCTTACAAATAGAAAAATTTTTTTATCAAAACGTTTGTGATAACCTGGTATAAGTTTATTTTCGACAGATAAAAACTTTAAACAGGAAAGAAGCGGATTTATCAACTTAAAACCAAGGAAAAAAAGGTAAAATAATATAAGAAATTTTATGCTCTTAATTATGTGGGCTGTAGCGCACAAATCAAAACAATATATAGCAAATCAAATAGAAAAGTTTTATTTAAAATAACAGCACTAAAAATTAAATACCTGGGGTATATCAAAGACGTCTGATGCTCCCTTGAACTGCTGCTGGAGAGATCACTATTTGATTCTACAAGTGTAGACTGACTGCTGCTGCTAAGGCTGGAAGTTGAAGTATTATTTGGAGTTGAATGCAGAAGCTGAGACTATAGTAAGAGAAGATCTGGTGTAATATTATTCTGAGAAATAACTAACACTGTAAAAACAATAGCTTGAGAAGATTGCAATATTTTGCTCAACATAGCCTAAAAGTATTATTAATGGAAATAAAGAACAAATTATAAAGTTTGTTTTCAAATAACCAAATGTAAGGATTACTAAAAGTTTATTAATTCGTCACTAAGTAGGAAGCTAATGAAAAAAATAAAAACGAGTAAATTTCCAGAATCATCATTTCCCTCTAAAGCAAAAATTCGTGGAAAATCATCCTTCATCTAAAACCTAAACTGACAATTTTCAGTTGCCAGCTAGATGTATTAGCAGGGAGGATGTATGTAGAAAGCACATTGTAGGGATATCTTTCATTCTTTACATTCCCTCTGTCTTCTAAAGATTTAATGTGGAAAGAGGGGATCAGAATCGGTAAGTCCAAGTTGGTGACGATGTATCAGCCCCCAAATTTTACATCGGGCTCTACTTTAGGTTTAGCATTAGTCTGGGAGCAAAAATCTAAGTCCTCCACAAAAGTTAAGTACGAAGCTTCCAGTTACCAAATGGATGTAGTAAGATCTGCACAACAAAAGCACATAGTAAGACCATCTGTAATTCCTCCTGTAGGAAATTTCAACTCATGCTATCGTGGTGTAACTGGAACCGTATCCAGCTGTCATCGGAAGACCCGAAATTTGAATTCCGTTGAAGACATTTCTGTCTTTTCATGTTTCCTGTTATGAAAATAACCTAACGATTCTACAACACAATACTAGCATAATTAGGATTCAAAATTAAAATACAGATTCAAAAATAAAATACCAATAAAAAACTTAATACTAACTTAATCTGTTAAGGAGTTGTTTAGTAGTTAGACCTGATATTCATGGAATACAATAAACTCTCTTGCTGGCGATATAACCATTTCAGGTTTAAATAAAATGAAAATACTTTATTTGTCTTTAAGCATTTGATAATTAATAAATTCAGAGATAAATCCCATTCCTGTACCTAGATGGTCAGACTAAAATAAATTAAAATACTAACCCGACTTTGTTTGTTTTCTTAATTTAACAAGTTAAACACTTCTAACATCTTATAGTTAGCTATTGATGCAAATAATTGGCTCCCTGCTACCGACAGCTGGCTATGCATCATCGCGGATACTTTATAGTGAACATATTTATTAACTATTACATATGTATCTCGTTCAATTACGTCTTAAATATTCTTTAATTAATTGTATTATCTAGAAAGGTTTGAAATAAGTACGACAAATAAAAAGAAAGTGGAAACAATAAAAGAAATCTGATTAGTTGACATCAAATCTCACAAATAATGTAATAAATATTTATTGTTAAATTTATAAAGCAAAAGCACAATTTATGATGTTGAAAGAGCCGCGTTTCTTACTTGATTTGATTTATAAATGTCTGAATGTAAAACATATGTAAAATTAAATTACGTTTAAAATATAAGGGGATTTGCACCGAAATTATTTATGATTTTTTCTAGAATATTTCTCCTTTTGTAATATTCGTAAAATCGTTGATTTAATTAAACTTGCTGCAAGAAATGAATTTAAAATATATCTTAATAATTTGCGCTATTTATTTTTGCAATATTTTCTTTCGTGTTTTATCAATAAGAGATTAAATTATTGGTTTTCATATTAAAAAGCAAGATTTATATATTATATATTTAAAGTAGTTTTTCC